GGCTCGACTCGATAAGTTGCAGCGCATGTCTGGCCAACAGAGTGACACGGCCCAGAACTGGCTTGCTGGGGCTGTTATTGCTTGTCCACAAACGACCCGCATGCTGCTGATCGTAGGCGGTGGCCAAACACAATGATGGATAGCTGTCACGTTCGCTGCGATAGCTGTGCTCCAAATCTGTAATTTGTTGCTCTGCAAAAATGCGAATAAGATCAGATATGGATTATTGCACAGGTTTATGGGACTGACCTGTCCAGCTGTTGTTGAAATTAAGCAGAAACAATTCGCTGCTCCAGTCGCTGTGGGCGAGCAGTTGAAGGAAGCGTATGAAACCAGTTTGTGGGGAGACAGTAGTGTGTGGCGTCTGTCGCTGCTGGAACAGATGCGCCACAAGCAGCTCCGTAGCTATGGACGGCCACAGACCGTCGTCCAGCAGCTGTGAAGCCAGCCAGCGCTTCGCAATAAGCACTGTGGGCCCGAACGCGCCATGCAATTGATGCAACGCATGCAGTGCACCACTGACTCTAGGCAGTATATAGTGGCGTCGCTCCAGTTCGCGACTAGCTGGATTGTCCACATAGGTGGTAACACCACGTTCTGTTTGCTGTTGCTTCAACAGCACCAGCTCCTTACTATGTGCCAGCTCCAAGAGAAAGCAGTAGCCTCGTTTAAGTACCAGCAAACCATCTTTGCAGAGATGCCAGTGAAGATGATGTTGCTCCTTGAGCTGCTGCCCAATTTGTATTAGAAAGGCGGTCTTTAGGCTCCGCAGTGCGCCCAGGTCACTTGGCCACTTGCCACTCGGTCCCAACTGAATGATCACACGCAGCACTTGACCGGTATGGATGCGATCTGCTACCAAACGTGCCTGTGGCAGCAATGGCTGTGGCTCACAATAGCGAAAAACGGGTGAAATCCCAGATATTGACACAATGTCGAGCGGCAGCTCCTCAAGACTGTGCAGTTGGCGTGCCAGCGCATCGTAGCAGTGGATGACGTGTGGCGTGAGTGCCTCGGCGTCAGTTTCCTGCTGAATTTTCAGTTTGGTTTGCAGCTTGCCCACTTTGAAGGAAGGCGTTAAGGAGTATACAACATCAAGGTTACCGGCAATGTACTGCACTTCACTGGGCTCCAGCTGAAGCTGATGCTCTAGCAAATACAAGACTATCTGGCGCGCTATCAAGCGCTTTTGGCTGGGCGGGTCTGTTGCAGTAGCCCACACGACAGCCTCCGTTATGCTGCCATCCTGAAAGCGACGCAAATTGGATTTATTACCCCAAAATTTGCGAAATTCCGCGGCACCATTCGCATCTTCATTAGTTGCTGGTCCCTTATCCAGCACTTCGTGTGCATGCTCCGGATCGAGTATGAGGCCTAGCGTCAGGGAGCGTCCAATGACTGGCGCCTTGGTGTCCACGGTCCAGGGACTACACGGTACTTCAAGTGGGAGAATGGCGTGTACGCGTTGTCCCAGACCCTTCTGTAGTAAGCTATACAGGAATAAGTTTAGGCAATAATTCTCATTTTAAACAGCTCCTAGAAGCAACTTACTCTGTTAGCAATTTAAGCAACTGCGGGTGGGCATAGTTGGCATAATCGTATTTGATATGCGGCTGAATATGTAACTGAAGTAGCTGATCCACGCTGGCTGGATTAGTGATTCTGTGCCGAAAGTAGAAATAGAGATTAAACATTTTCTGATTATATTATTTCTTAGATTTAAGAGTGCAATTTTTTTAACTTTTTAGTTTTCATAAATAAATTCCGCTTCTACTGTCGTTTTTCTAGACCAACCTAACAGATCTCAATAGATTATGAAAATACAAACGTGAAAACGGAATACGTATATCAAACTTTTCGTACAATTACGATTTACAAACGATGTGAGCTATATGATATAGAAGTCTATCAGTCTTTTCGAAGACATTTTTTAGGCTCATATAAAAATACGAAATTAGTAAACATGATTTTCATTTAATAAATCCATAATTTGTGAAATATTGGCAACTTGTCACGCGTTTTTGCTTGGATTCATAGGTTCAATTACGAATAAACTTTTTACTTTATGTCTCTAGTAGTTTACTCGTTTTCTGACATAAATACGATATCCCTGTGGATGGGTATAGAAAAATAAACAGAGATAATTTGTATATTACAAAACACCCAACTTGTATTACTAAATATAGTCCGGAAGCTCAGCCGTATCCAATTATATATAGCTTCCTTTATATAAATATATATATATATCCCTGTGGATGGGTATATATATATATATATATATATATATATATAGAAACACAGCTCAGATCAGGGAAGACCATTTATAAAATAAAATATTTTGATAAATTTTCAGCCATTGCGCAACTGCGCCACTCACTTGAGTATGTTATCCATGCGGGTGTAGAGCGGTGATGTTTGCATGAAAATGTGCGAAAAACTATTGACTTTTACATCATTTAGCAATTCGACGGCCAACTTTGCCTCCGCACAAACGGCTTTGTAGACCGCAAGGGGCAGATTTGCGCACAGATTGTAATAGCCGGTTACATCCATGAAGCAAACATCATAGTAGCCGGCCAGGGTGCTTAGCTGGTACGGTTGATGTTGTGATAGAGTTATGCCTTGTGTCCAATCACTGTTAGCTAGCTGATTCCATACGGTGCGGGCAACCTGATAGCTGCTGCTTGACTGGTGAAGCAAACGCTGCTGTTTTAGATAAGCAATGTACGCGGCAAGAATGTGTGCACTAAAGCCGCTGAAGCCAACATCAAGCTGGCGTTGGTGCAGCCATACTTTAAGCAGCAGCAAACCCTCCTGAAAGTTACGGCGTCCAGTGAACGTGCTAAGTAACAGCTTTTGATTCTCAAAAAGCGTCAGATCGAACAGCACATTGGCATTGTAGTGCTGAGTAGCGGGTAACGTTTCCGCTTCATCCCACTTATCTCCGAAGACGGAGGGCCGAATGTTGTTAATCCATGGTAAAAAGCGACTCAACTTAAAGATCTCCTTCTGTGCTGTAATATACACGCGAAACAACAAATATTTGCCCAACTTAGCGGCAGGCGTCAATTCCAGCACTGGTTTTAGCGGATTATTTGCATGGTAGTTGTAGGCGAACTGATCTGCTTTAAAGGCTGGTTGTTGCTTTATTTTGCTTGCCACCGTGGCCAGATAGAGCGCACGCTTTTGATCGTAAATTAAATTGCGATAATCGTCCTGCTGGAAGCATGCAGCGGGCATTTCCAGCGCCACATCTACCACAATCTTGGGGCCCAGCAATGTGCCCGTGGCCGCAGCGCCAATCAGCTTTGGCTCCGACGTTGGTGTCAAGAATTGAAAATTAAAAGATTTTTTGTGCAGATGCAGTGGCACCTCCAATTGGCAGGTGTCTAGCAATCCGTCTTTTAATTCCTGCACAGCAATCGTAAACGTCTCTATCCATGTTTCAATGTAACTGCTGTATTTGGGCTTGAGTTGGAGCTCCTCCAGCATCTCCTTCACCTGTAGCTTGAACAAATTTGAATGAAAGAGGTTGCGTGTATCGCGAATCTCCTTGATTTCTTCCAATGTCGGTGGTTTAACGTTCGACTCTGCGTGCTTGAATTTTTTCTTTTTCGCTTCGCCATTGGCCAGCGGCACTTTACGTTTATGCGCTGTGACTCGGTTTGGTTCATCAAAGCCATCATCGCTACTGGTGGCAGCAGTAGCTGCATATTCGTAGTCGGTGTGTGATTTCGAAAGGGAAGGCTGTAACTGGGATCGATTTTAAAGTTGCTGTTAATATATATTTGTGCTTAAATATTCTAAACTTACTGCCTTAGATTCTTTTTCTTTAATTCGTCCCATTTTATTCAGCCACACTAAACCAAAAATAAAAAGCAATAGCGTGCCAAACAATTGCACGTGCTACTTGGTTTTGGTTTTAATAATACGGCCAAAATTGGCGCTTTTTTATTACAACAACTTATCGATTAATAAGTGCATTTCGGTATTTTTCGCCCCATTTAAAATATATTGATAGCTTCAGGGATCTTTCAAGATCTTTTTATTTGAAACTGAAGCATTAATTACATAGATCTATCGACAATACGTACTGCGCTTACGTGATATACAAACATTAAGCTCCTCCTCATACAATAAAATTAATTAGGATGCCCATATAATTACAAATGAAAAAATATTAGCACATGCCCCGTTCCGAAGAATTGCCGCTATAGCATTTTTTTATGTTAAGAACGAAATAGTAAAAAATGTATTTTTTTATTTGACTTTTTTAACTGAACAATGATAATTCTTCACGTCTTGACTGTAGAAAGGAATAAAATTTGTTGAGCTATCGAACGATATGCTTTTAACTGTTCTTAAAAGTAGATTTCATTACGGTGAAAATTTTGATTGATAACAATGTAGTAAATATTAAAAAAAAAAAAGTCAGAAATCGAATATATTCGAAAGCGGTAGAAAACTGCTGAACTGTCTCATCGATAGCTCCCGAACAACACGAATAAAAAACTAGTAAATTCGGTCACACTGGTGAGGAGTAGTACATTGCAGACTTTTTGTACTTGTATATAGAATTTGTTTCTTTCAATAAATAATTGCTTATGCTATTTTGTATAATTGTGTAGATCAGCTAAAATTAGAATATAAGTGGTAAATACCTTTAGTGGCATTCGCTGCTGGTTGCGTGAGTGTATGGCGCAAACATATGCATATGTACAGATGTTGCCTAAAACAAAACTCCATAAATTGCACCGTGATAGTATGTAAGAAGAAAATAAATTTTGAAACGAATCAATAGTGTTTAAGCTTGTTTATCAAGCGTTAGCATATTGTTTTAGGCGTTTTTCCCCGTGTAAAATAAAGTACCGGCTAATTATTTTGTACATTGGTATATTTAGTATATATTTTAATTTTGAATCTTTTGCGAGCTGGATTGTATTTCTGTATTATTTAGGTACGGCCACATTATGACGCAGTGTTCAATTTGTGCGTGTGTGTGTTTGCAAGGCAGGGGAAAAGTCGCTCCATTTTTCTCGTGCTCTCTTCCGTACGTTTAGCTTTGCAAAACATTTTAATGGCGAATCGCTTAAATATTGAAAAATTGTTTGCCGAAGTTTTTACATAAGAAGCAAACACAAAAACCAGCAAAAGCACGCCGCAAAATAATAAGTGTCTAATCGCATGGATACACCTCCCAACTGAAGAAATTGGCCAAGCGCTAGTGTGTGTGTAACTGTGTCTGTGCGCGCGTGTGTGTAAGTGAGCAATGAAAAATGAGGCGTAGGTGAGGAATGTGTGTGCAAAATTGTCGACAGGTACAACAAAAAATAACCAAATTAAAAACCAAAACTAACAGTAAATTACAGTTCAAGTTCCATTTCAAAAATCAGGGGCGACATTTATTAAATGACGCGTTGGCAGTGTAAAGAAATATGGCAAAATTCAAACAGCAGTTGTGCACCCTGTAGTCTTGCGGTCGCTGAAAAGAAGCTTTTGCGTGCCGAAAGCATTAAAAGAGCAATAAAATAAAAAATCACGTACAAACACAGTTTTTAGTTTGATCTTGACTATAAAAAACGCACATGAACTATTTTTGTGCTGACCCTCAATATATCTATGTACGGGCAAGAAGTATACGCACTAATTGGCCTAATTTTGAGTGCCTTCCTTCACATTACGACAGCAAAGTCGGTGGCTGCTGCTGTGTCGTGTGGTTACCACATGGTGAATCTTTGTAAAAGTCTCACAGGCATAGTGCGTAAATTGTTGGACTAACTGCTTGCAATATTGCTTAAACAATTTACAAATAACTTCTATATTATTTGTGCGCATCCATGGTTTCATGAAAATCAATGGTCAAATGTATGAGACAGGCCCTTTCGGCTTTAGTGTGACCGTTTCAAATCAAGCAAATATACCGAAAAATACTGTTTGTAGTTATATTAAAAGCATTTTCGCAATATTTAAGTTTCTTTAGTTAATAAATATAAAGTAATATATTGGTTAGAAAAAAATCGAAATTAGTATTTTTATAAAACGAATTTAAGAACGATTCGATTTTTTCGATGTTAGGGATATGTGCTGGTAACTCAAAACTAATGCAATGTTTGTTTTTTTTTGTTTATTTTTTTTTTACATTTACAGCTTGTTTTGCCATGCAAAACGCAGGGTCGACCATAAGGTGTAAATACAACTGCACTTGCACGCCGACACAACGACAATTAAACCTATTTTCATTGCGCGCGCTAATGTCAGCTGATGACCGGTTAAATTCAATTTGACGACAAGAAAAAAAAAAGCAAATAACTATTGTTCTTTTTTTGTCGTTGGCGTAACATTAGCGGAATACGTCAACCAAACTTTATAAAAATTGTTAGAAATTTGTGGGGAAAAATGTGCAAAAGTGTGTTTGTTAAATTGTTAGCCAAAATTATTTGTTTACCTAGTACTACATAGAACGTAACTGCCTTTCTTCATCCAACAAGAACAACAATAACAAAGATATTTCGACACACCGGACAGACAAACAAGCACACAAACTAAGACAAACAATAAACATAATACAACTGCATTCAATAATAGCCAACAAAATTTAACAAATCACCAAGGAAATGCTCAAATTGAATACTTAAATGTCAAGCGACAGCAGCACTGAGGCCACAGCAACAAACAATATAACAGAAACAACAACTGTAAGCTAACAGAAGAACAACAGAGCAACAGTAGGGCAGTTGCGAACTTTGGTCGAAAGAGGAGAAGCGCAACAGTGGAAGCTGCTTGCCGTATGCATTGGACGCATGCGCGACATGCGTGGACGTTAAGTGAGTGTGCGTGTGTGTGTGTGTGTGTGTGTGTGTGCCACTGCATGTGTGTCCACGCACAACAAAAGCAGCAGCAACAACAAACCAGAAAATAAAGTCCACACATTCAACAGTTTGAACCAAATATTTTGAGCCACAATTTCGCATTTCAACAACGTTTTGGATCAATCTTATCAACAATCGATAGCCGTTGCTATTAGTTTCATTTATTATCTTTCAAAATTCTGTGGAAAGTGATTGCGTTTTTCAGTCAAAATTCAAGGGAACGTGCCGAATATTTCTCTCTCAGCAGTATCAGCTACAATAACCAGAACAACAATATGCAGCGACGCGAACGGCAAACAAGGTGAGTGTTGCACCAAATTCATTTCATCCAAACCATTCTATATATCAGCTATATGAGTATAACCAGCGAATACCCTCCGACAGCAGATTTGCTTTCGTTCACCGTTGGCTAAACGTGGTTGTTAGGATACTGCGTCAGTGGTATGCAAAGCTCCTTAAACTCCATACTGCTTTAAAACTTCGAAAATCGTGCGTAGATTTGCCATTTGCCATTTGTTCATTTCATATTTATTCATTTCGTTTTGACACAACATTCAAACCAAAAATAATTCTTTCTCAAAAAAAACCAATCGCAGCCAACACGCCCAATTCCCCAATCCCCAAATCCCATCCATTTATTCAAGGTAGTCCAGTTATACATTGTATTCTCAGGTATTCCTAAGAATTCATTGGTTGAGTTGGTTGGTGCATGGGACAAACTTGACATAAAAGAAAAACTGTAATCGATTTCTGCTCTTTGCTCAGGGTTGTTATTGATAAATAATTGAAGAACATTGCACTAGTGCGATCATGAGCAATATATTCAAACTCTTGTTTGTTATCTCATTTTTTTCGCTTTACTTAAGGTAACGCGAAAAAAGTTCATTATAATGATTTATATACGTCCGTATTTTTATACGCAGTTGTTATCAGGCTGTTGCTCAAAAATGTTGCAAATAAATTAAAATGTTTGGCGATTAGATAATTCAAAAAGAAACATCTTTTGGACCCCGAAAATGAATTACCCTTTATTTGATTACTGAACGTTAAACATTGCAAATTTTTTTTTTACTGAAAGCGTTAGTTGCGTGGAACTTTTTATTCAAAATTTAATGCGGTAGTGCCCATAAGAGTACAATAATGTTGTAATCTGTTTTCGACATGTTTAAGCAAACACGGAAACTTAAAGAATAAAATATTAAAATTTTAAATCTGAATTCAATTCAAATCTTCAGCCGGATATATAAATTTTTTATTCCGCATAAACAATTGCAAACCTATTTATTATTAATAATTTTTCTCAGATTTCTCACAACTTTTCAATAACTATTGATTTCTTATTTAATTATACTTAGACTCAAAAGTCTTGCTTCCTTGCCAGATATTAAGAGAGATATATATAAAAACATTTGAGGTCGATTTAAAATACGGTCAGCTCCATTAAAATGTAATTATTTGAATATGTTTAAATATGAAGCAGTTGTACACGTAGTCATCAAATTAATTCAAAATGCTGTTTATTTGTTTATAATTCTTTGTTCCAAAGTTTTCTTTCTCCATTAAGAAATTCTGTTTGCTTAACGAACAAATATCTCATATGCGCACGTTTAATTTACAATAGCTAGACATATCACACAAATTAATTGCAAATACTAATGAATAGGTAAAAATAAACAAAAGCTAAAACAAGTTTTGACTATATAATCGGTACTACTTGCACTTTGCACTTGCACTTCCTAAATTAAAACATTTGTATACCCCAGACCCATTGAAAATGGTTAACTAGCTGGGCTTTTATAAATTAACTAGTTTGCAAGGACCCCACCAACACTGAACACTGTTAGATCCCCCTGAGATCCCTGCTACAATGCATCAAAAAGCTGCAATACTAAAGATGTAAAGCGACACGATAACTATTTGATTATTTCAATCGATATTTAGTTGTTTCGATTTCTTGGTATATTTTCGTGCTAAAGTGGCAGCAATATCTGCTTTGTGGCTTGGCGAGATTCATCTACAGATACGAAAACATGTGCATCTAATTCACACGATGTGTTATATATTCACCTTCAAGAAGTTCAATTTAACGAATAGTTTCGTTTGCACTTATTTTCATGAGGTTATGTTTAAATCGCAACTTACCAAAATTACCAAGTCTACAATTATTTAAACCAAAGCTGTCAAAATGTAAACAAACAACAGCTGATTGTGCAGAGTTGCAACGCTAGCGGCTGTTCATTCTGTTGATCTTTCACAGTTGCAATGCCCAATGAACACGTCAAGTGCATTTTAGTTTTGTGCAAAGGTTTGTCAGAGGTAGAAGGAGGCATTTTCCAGTCGATCCAGTGATCTTTTATTCGTCCTTGCGTCGCTTTCTGAGAGCTAGTAGCATATTTAGAACGTAGGTTCACCTCTAGCCCCCGCAGATAGTTTGTTTTATATCATCGATAACTTTTCATAAAAACTAATATAAGATTGCGATTTGGCATTTGCATTATATTGTATGCCATATTAAAGCCCGAAAGATTGTGTGAAGAGCGGACAATAAATACCTAAGCTTCTAGCTCGGCGCCGAGTATAGAGTATTTACTAGTCAGTAAATTTGCTACTGTTAATAATAAAAGAAAACTTGTGTGGGAAGCAACTAGTGACGTCCTAGTCTTGGATAGGTACATAAATGTATGCGGTGAATTGAATGCAATACCCGTCACTTTGGCCATTGAGAAAACTTTTCTGATGCCACCTGTATTCGCTGAATACTCTTCTACAATATATTTTCATGGGTATATAAGTAGAAGTATGAATATAAATGTAGCTACGCAATGTTTCGAAACACAATCGTTGCTCTCTTTCGGATTTCCTATTTACTCGCTTAGCGGCTTTCATCGATTGCCAAGAGAAAAACTGTTATTTGGTTTCTCTAACATTTTATTTTTAGCAAATAGCATATATATTTAAACTTTTTGTTTTATTTGATTCTCTTTACGCCACCGTTTGGTGCTTTTCGACCAATTTTGTAATGCGATTCCTTGGCAGACACTCGCTTGAGGGTTAAACGAACGCCTTTGCAATCTATGGTGGATGCCTGCGCTTCTTCTCAGGAAGTGGAAAGCTAAATGCAAGCACACTCGCACATACATACATACTTATTTCAGATATCGGCCCCGCCTCCTGTATCCGGCTCTGTCCCCGCCTCCGTCTCCCTCTCCGCCCGTATTCGAGCAAAGTGTAGTTGTTGTTATTTGTGTTACCTTGTGCCGGGTCTATTGACATTTCTAGGTTGCTGTTGACTTAGTTGTATGCCCGTTTTTTTATAGTTGTTTCATCCTTGTTATTATTATTATTATTCCTATTATTTTTAATCCGTAGACCGTGTTTGTTGTCTGCATTTTGGTACTTAGATATGCCCGAATGTACATAGAATACAGTTTCTTGTTAAGGGGCTTTCCCTTTGCCATCGACTAGAACCATATTTTCGTTTTTAGTATATTTGGCTCACGGGGACTAATAAGTTAGCGAGAACAATAAGGCCTTGGGGAATAATTACTCGTGTAACTTTATGGCTTCAAGTGGCAAAAATAAAAATTAATTGTATATTTTCTGGCCGAAAGCTATTCATGAGTCTTGCACCAATTCAAGAATTCGTGTGTTTGTGAACAAAAAAAAGCTAAGTCAGTAAGGGGAAAAAGTTATTTCACACGCTGATGTTTTAATCAAGTCTGCAAACCTGTTTGAACCCGGAATCTCCATGAACCGAACCGGATTAGCTGACTTAAGAACAGATAAACCTAATTATAATTAATACCTTGATTAATAAAAAACAACTAATTTCGACAAGTAAAAATATATAACAAATTGAATGTAAATTAAATTTATTTGTTCGATTGAAAATGTAAGAAACCTAAGTTAATAGATACGAAAAGATATATTAATAATTTAAATGCATTTAATTCAAAACAGAAGAATTAGGCGCTTAAAGATATTATCTTTATTTAGTACAAAGTAATTATGTATATTTAATACTATACGAACATCTGTTACATTGTAAAGAACAAACTTGAAAACAAAAACGTATGAGACCCACCAAGCAAACAATTGCATCATCTGTGTACACATTGCGGCTTCTATATTGCCCTTACCCCTAGAGTCTATCGTGGTGTTTATAATAATTTGATTAAATATTGAAAGTGTGAGCAGTGATTTAACCTTCGATAAAAACTTTATGAAATGCATATTGCATATACAAATGTTTTAATTACCGCGCAAGCCCCGAGAAGCAGTTCGGGGACTTGAGATTGGGGTTATTGAGCCCTTCACAGAGTCGCTGATATGTGGAACGTTTGACCTCAATTATGAAGAAAAGGCGAGATAGAAAGAGAGCAAGAGAAAAATGGAGAGAGAACCTAGGAGATAGCACTCGAATATCTGTGGGTTGTGGCTGTTGGAGCCAAACACAAGCGTAATTAATTAATTGAAATTAAATGTATGCTTATTTTGTTTTCGAAAAACCTGCCTAGAAACAAAAAAATTACAGCTTCATTTAAAAGAGAAATCATAATTGATGTCAAAATAAAACCAGTTGCGGCTGCTGCTAATAATTAAGATCACGGCTCGAAGAGAAATACGAAAGATGATTTATTCAAAAGACTCAACTCAATGCTCTCCTGTCGTCTGGGACGCTTTGCTGATTAAAAATGACTGAAATTGTTCTTGAACTCAACTTTGGCCGTCGCCTCTCGCAGACGCGTCGCGAGTGCCTTTCGGCCAGTGAATTATTTGATGCGGTTGCAAGTCAAACTGCGCACCGAGAAGTGAGAACTGTGAAACTGAAAACTGAAAATTTGACCAAACTTTTAGCGCTTCTAATGACTGAAAGTCTATGTATATATGTCTATGTCGACGTCGTGGCTGTAATGCCAGACGATGATAAAGATGACGATGCAGTCCAAGATAAA